TGCGATGTTTGTCGTCAATTTTGTTTATAATTGAACAAGTCGTGTTTTACTTTTCGCTCTAAGAGCCCCATGTATTAACTCTGTAGTCGGCATAATATAATAACCTCGACCCAGAGCAGAAAGCACAACTGTTCTATTTAATGCAATTCGAGGTAATTAGTGTTACGTCTTCGTTTATTCTCAGTTGGGCGTTCGGTCCTGCAAATGTCAACGCATTCTATGCGTTTAGGAATAAAATAAGTAAGTATATGTTGTCTAAAGCGCCACAGCCGCCGTAAGACACGCGTTCGACTTTCAAGTAAACAAACAACTCGTTTTATACGTCAACAGGAACCCATGTCAAACAGAGCGTGTTGTGGCCACTGTGGTGCTTCAGTCTAATTATATTGAAATTCTGTTTCATTATGTGAATTGAAAAAATTGTTTGGGAAAACACATATTTGTCATTCTTTTTTGTAGAAAAATAAAATAAAACAGGAAATAACATAACAACGTTGGATATCAATGTACCTTTTTATGGTTATTAATGTTCCTTTTTACGATACAATACTATAATTAAATTATATAACGTTTAGTAGTTCACGGTTCTTACTGTGCGTGCGGTATGACAATCCATTTCCCGGGTCTATATCTCATTCCATTATTACATTCTCTCCTAAATTCTCAAGCTAAAACGAGAGAAAGCATGCATAATAACGTAACAGTCTCGTATATTTGTTTTCAGCTGTGCCTGCTGGGATTATGCAACCACCGTTTTATCACAAAACATCGCCACAGTAAGTATGCATCTGCCACGCGCATTGACGAAACAATAGATTACAACCGCCCTCTCCAGGCCACAGGAATCATGTCAAACATTATATCTAAGGGCAATTTTAGCGGCCAGGTCTGTTATTTTAGTTACTTTCGCAATTTAACAACGAACCAGCCATTACCGGTGCACTAATTTACATGAATATGCATAAGGTTATGTTATAAGTGATATGCATGGAACAAAACAAATTTTACTAATTATAGGAAGACAAACAACTACATAACCAAACAAAATAGTCGATTTGAACTCTGACAACTAATAAAGTTATTAGTTGTCTGAGATTTAAAGGACATTGTCTTCACTCATAAACGTAATTTTGACGTCACAAGAGCGCTCCGTCACTAGAGGGTGCAACTTTTAGCAATTATATTTCGGCAAATGAACAAACCAATGTACACCGATCTCAAAGTTGACATGAGTGACAACCATATGATTTGGTTTCTAATACATTATATACAATCGCAATGGGTTATCTGTTTGACGAGTGGCGTTTGTGACGTACGGGCGGGCTAGTTTGTGAACTATTACATTGTAAATACGCTCACTATTACCGTTTCTTTTCAGATATTTAAATTACGGTGGAATAGGCATGGTGATTGGTCATGAACTCACCCACGGATTTGACGATAAAGGTACTCCATACCATATATGGGCATATATAGTGTAAATAAAATTACTGCGTAGTTGGTTGTGTTACGGTACGGAATGGGTTCCCGCATTCGGCCCACATACTTCAGTGTACGAAGTGTTGATTTCGTCCTCCGCGACAACGTACAACAAAACCGTATTAATAAATTTAACAAGATTAAATTATTGCGAGACAGGGAAAATTGTGAAATATTGTGGTAGTGAGCATTTCACTGAGGTCCTAATTAAGACAGTACCCCCAGAACGTTCAGCGCGTATTACATCTGACGCTGTATTATACAGTCAGTTTCCTGTACGACTGTCAAGCGTTCAAAAAATAAACGTGGCTATTTGATTGGTTGAATTACGAATGAGCTGGACGTCCAAGCCAAGCACCATATTCATCCATTTTAAGGACATTGACACTGTGATCTTAACTGTATTTTACCTTGATTCAGCTTTTGGAGGTCGAAATAATTTGCCCCATGGACGCATAAATATTTTTAAAAGATTATGAATCATATATAATATAGTCTCAAATCAATACCACTCAGTGCTAAAAAAAAATCACTGAAACAAAAACGTCGACGATGTGTTTATTTATATTCATTGCCCTGTTACTAGACTGGCAAATTCGGGACTTCTTTTTTGTTTTACAAACAAAAATATAATTTTTCAATTTAGCCTTTTTAACGTGATCGCGAAAACTAGCGTGACTGCGAAAGGACAGGTTAGTTCTCACGATCACGCTAAAAGGACTAAAAGTACAATTGATTATTTAATTTTGCAAAACAAAAAAAAAAGTCCCGACTTTGCCAGTCTACCCTGTTACCTTCTTCCGAGCTTACGCAGACGCGTCAAGAAACTGACTTGCACACTGTGAATGAATTTATAACCTTGATTTTCTTATACGAAGTTGATCCTTATTTTTCCCGATCTTAAAATAATGTAACATTGTCTTAAATTGCTATATATAACCATTTCTGTTATAATAGGTATTTCAATGGGAGTATTAATATTACGTCAATCGTACACAAATCGTATGTGAATCGAATCGTGCACTGTCTTCACACTCGTGGTTTGTGGTTTATTAAAGGTTTATTTCATGTAAATAAACAATGCATTTTACCTGCGTTGTGTACGTCGCTATGAGTCCCAAATCGAACAGGACGCGACGCGACGCGACGACGACCTCTCTTTAATATTTAATCCGAGTTGGTGCAGCTTAGAGTTATAGAAAGGGATAAAGGATGGTAATCTGTATCGCACAGTACACCCTTTCTTAACCATTGTTAAAGGGTGGGTCGTCGTGCCGCGTCCTGCTCAATATGGGACTCATACGTATACAACGCGTGTAAAATATATTGTTTATTCACATGAAATTCGAACACGCGCTGCGCGACGACCACATAAGCTAGCTACGTAAACCACCATAAACCAAGTTATACTTGGCGCAACAAGAATCAGTTGAATCAAAGCAGCCAAAAGTTCAAATGTTATTCATTCGTGAATAAGAAATCCCTCCTTTCAATTTGATCACACAAATATGACGGCAAATGATGTGGAACACTGACTGAAGAACAATTTAGCGACAGTGGGGATAATACAACAGTGGGTGTTTTGTGTTCCTGGATTTATAAATTTGTTTTCTACAACTATGAATTTAAAGTGCCTGTTCAATGCCCACCCTCACGTTTCCCATTTTAGATCTGTATCCCACTGAAATGGGCAGTTATTGATTTTTTTGCTGAAAATGATTACTCGTATCCAAGTAAATTTGGGATATTTCTCGTGTTGTAGCCACGCCCACCTATCTTGAAACGGTCGACTGTTTCCGGATTTCCGACTCTCGCCGAAAGTGCGCCACCAAAATGCCAAAATGTGAGAGGAAGTCATACCTCTGAGCCGTAATAACACTGATCATTCAGTATACTTTTAAACGATATACATTTTTCAGTCGGCGTTTTTTTCTTTCTTTTTTTGTCTATTTTCTTTTCTTTTTTTTTGAGTGAGAGTTTTTAGATGTTGTGTTGTGGGCAGTTGCAGTGAAACGTATAGTCATAGTGTAAGTATTCACACGTTTCTAATCGATCCGAAGTGTCGCATACGACTTATTTACCACTTCCGTGTCACTGAGAATGTTCTAGAACCGTACTGTGTCTGGGTGGAATATTCTATATTTTTTTAGAAAATGGTTGAATAGGTAATAGAACACTGTAGGAGGCAATAGAAGGTAATGGAACATTCTAGAAATTTGTAGTAAATTCCAGACTCATTATGTATGCTGATGTAATGGTCTATTTATAGACAGTGGGGGTATATATAGGGGAGTTGTTCAGAACTGATTTCAGATCGGAGATCTCGTTGAATTGTATTGGAGTTTAAGTATCTAGTTATTGGAGTAGTGGAGTTTTACCGCGTTATTGTACTTGATGTTTGCGGAGTATAATAATATCAGTACCAGTTGAAACCTCATCTGTTGGCTCCGTGTTCGTATTTTATCATCGCCGCCAGGGAAGTCTTTCTGTTACTGTTGCCATTTTGGTATTTGAACCATCACACCTGTACTATACCAATTACGGTAATATTACGTTGCGTGTGACACGAAGGTGCGACATCAGTGGACGAAAGCCATTTAACCTCAGATTCATTTTTTGGAAAAACTGTCCTCATCCATGAAAATTTTTTATGTATAATGTGAATTGCCACCTTCCATTCCTCATATCTGCAATATCAACGTCATATCCGGTGTGAGGGATATTCAGTCATGCACTAGAAACACAATAATTCATTGTGTGTTCAAATATGAATATCGTTTTCATGGTTTTATTGCACGTGAGATTTAGAGATTACAATTAATTTTTAGTGAATTTTCTCTTTCACAATGTATACAATCTTAGATGTGCAAGTCAACACAGCTCGTGAAATTTAAGTAATACTAGTATTTATTACTTTTTGGGATAATTACAAAATTACGTGTAATCTCTCGCAACATGGTTTAGGTTATACGCCCTCAGTGTTTACCTACTCTAGACGCATTAAAGCGCGGTGGTCGTTGCGCAGCGCGTGTTCGAATTTCATGTAAATAAACAATGTATTTTACACGCGTTATATACGTCGCTATGAGTCCCATATCGAACAGGACGCGACACGACGACTGTTCTTCGTCTATAGGTCATCTGTACGATAAGAATGGTTTGCTACAAAAGTCCTGGTGGAGTAATGAAACTGAGGCTAAATTTAAACAAAAATCGCAGTGCATTGTGGATCAGTACAGCCAATACATAATGAAAGAATGTAACATGACAGTAAGTCGAGTTTATAGTCTCAGGTTATATGTATACCGCCATCACTCTGCGAATGCATGGAACGCTGACAGCCTGTGAGGGCGCAGTACTGACCCCGACACACTTCCTCTTTGATAGGTCAATGGACTGCAGACAAAGGGTGAAAACATAGCAGACAATGGAGGTGTGAAAGAAGCTTATAACGTAAGGCAACAAATTAATACCAATATTATAAATAAAAATATAAAAATGGAATGTTGATTGCCTCGTCATTTTTTTTTTCAATCATGGTACTGTGCAGTGGTTCGCATTGCGACACCCCCGCCTACATCCGCGGTCCTGACGTAGGGGGCACAGCAGGGGTATATCGAGATGTTATCGTTGCATGCGAACCGTTGTGGGTAGAACAGCCCCCGCACATATACGCAGCTATTAATTTGAATATTAAATAATGATCATCATGCATCTTTTCCGGTCCCCACTCTCAAAAATGTATAATGTATTTCTGATCTACGTAATTCAAATCCGTCGAATGCTATGGTTTTCCGATGTTTGTGCAATATTTGTATGTATTTTTTTTCTATAAGGCCAGACTATTTTTATAATAATAATATTTTTTTATCATTTTTGTTGCGCTTACAAGTCGGCGGGCGCGAGAAATTACGCTGAAATAAAATTATATTTTTATTTCATTTTCGGCTGTTGTTCATTCGGCGGATTCGCGAAACAAGGGATAATAAAAGTCGGGCCTAATTTGTAAACACATGCTACGTGTGTGAACAGACGGGGTCAAACACCCTAGCTGTACGAACATGGTTTCACAGGTGTAGTAGTAAAAATAATAGTCTGACGATTCCCGGTGACTGAGTAATATATATATTACTATATATTGTATATTGTGTTAAAGGATATTGACACATGTAAAAGTGTTTCGTTTATTAATAAGCAGTATTTGTGATAATGCGGGGACACGTATTCTCTTTAGTCACTGCGGATCGAAATGTATGGTGTGATTTGCATCACGGCTAATATTGACGTCATAGGTGTATCGACCGCTGCCGGGGTTCAGTGTACGGTGAACGTCGGTGGAATGACCATTAATTGGGAAAGTCCTTGAAAGCATTTAAATAAAATCGCTATGTACTTCTGCTACTAGACGACCCTTTATCGAAAAAGCTTTTGAAATTCAGGACACGGTACTTCGTGTCTTAGATATAAACGAACTAAGGTCACGTGTATAGTCTAGTTTTGTCCCCACCTAGAGCGGGGTGGGGCAACCGATTTGTTTTTATTTAATACATGAAAGGGCGCGCGGTGTAATTCGCTTTCGGCATGTTTATACGGAAATCGAACGCGTGGTGCACATTACGCTGGAAATGAAATATCGGCAACCCAGAAATACACTGAGAAGGTACAAGTGCCGCGAGTCGTGTTTCCCTCCCATTTCGCGTCTCCTTCGTCCCTCGCTGTAACAGAGGGGGAAGAACGCGCGAAATATTAGGAAAGTAGGCGACTTAACGAGATGGCATCATTTGCATTGTATATTTGTATCGGCATTCATTTTCACAGTGAATATAATTCTTCATGTCTCATAATATGAGATGAATGACTTTCATAATTGTTATTAGGGTGAATCCGGATACTGTGAATATTTTTTTTAAATAAAAATATTTATTTTAGTCAGTTTTTAAATATGACAATAGTTTATCGTTATATACCACTGAAAGTTCTAATCCGTAATACATATAACAGTAGTGTAAAATTTGAATTCAGTTTTTTTTTTTCTCAGCACAGTTTCACTCACAATATCCCCCCCCCCCAGTCACTCAATACCCTCTTCCCGATACCGCCCTCGTTCCAACTAATTACGTCTGTGTGATGATCGATGGTTCTTCTTATTTTTTATTCAAGGCATATCGGAACTGGAGACAAAAAAATGGAGTGATCGAACCCACTTTGAGGTTACCTGCAGTGAATCTGACTCAGGATCAGCTGTTTTTCTTAAACTATGCACAGGTGATGTGTCTGTTACGTTAATTACGCTCACGTGAACATTTCCACCAATCCTGGACGATCGACACTCCGTATTCAAGTGTTGATTGGTTGATTGATATTACATGTTATCTGTGAATGTTTCGTTTCCCGGTACATCGAGTTCATGAATGGTGGCGCCAATAAACTATGGCGTAGCAGCTGTAGACAGAGTCGTCATTATATAGCCGTACTTTGGAGAGAAAAATCACTGCTCTTTTTTGTGTTAACATCGTCTGACCTTTGAAATCTGTTTTAAAATTGGATTTATTATTTAAAAACTCAGTTATTCGTCACTCTTTTTTCATATATTGTGTCAATATATTAGGAAAATATCATGCAAATAATTCTCAAAGAAGACGCCTTGATTTCATCATCGGTTCGAATGCTCGCTTTTCAAGCCAAGCACTCTTTAGTCCTAAGAAGTGACACCTGTAGTGACTACTAGTATATAACAAGCACTGTTCAATTTAATCTCACTAACTGTTCTGGATATCTTGCCGTAATATTGCCCTGGTATTAATTATTGCATGCCCTGTCGAGTGGTGGTTATCATAGCATTATGTTTCAATGTCATTTCA